CTGCATTGGCCTTCGTGTAGTGGTAGAGGAAAATTCTTTACTGAGTTCCGTGAAGCTGGTAGAATTAGGATCCGTATTTGAGAGTTAATTGTTGATTCTGGTTATCAAACGAGAGTGCTCAACAACGACGAGTCGAAGGAGCATAACTAATAAATAGTTGTTGTTTGGTTTCCCAAAGAGAGTGCTCGACTGCAGTTAAGCAGGAGCATTATAATTCGAACAATTGAAACAAATCAAATTGGCGGGCAAACGATCCGTTTCATGATATGTATAAAAACAATACCAATCATCAGTGCTAAATAGAATAATGAATTGTAGCGCTATGACATGTTGCTCCTTTATAAAATAATTTTTATCGATCATGAAACATTTTCAAAATTATCAAAATTTACAAAATTTCCAAAAAAACAGTTTATTGTGTCCGTCCCAATTTTAAAATTGTCTATGAAGTAAGGTAGTAAGATATCTTTGGCTTTTAAAGTTGTACTTGTAAACTGCATTGGCCTTCGTGTAGTGGTAGAGGAAAATTCTTTACTGAGTTCCGTGAAGCTGGTAGAATTAGGATCCGTATTTGAGAGTTAATTGTTGATTCTGGTTATCAAACGAGAGTGCTCAACAACGACGAGTCGAAGGAGCATAACTAATAAATAGTTGTTGTTTGGTTTCCCAAAGAGAGTGCTCGACTGCAGTTAAGCAGGAGCATTATAATTCGAACAATTGAAACAAATCAAATTGGCGGGCAAACGATCCGTTTCATGATATGTATAAAAACAATACCAATCATCAGTGCTAAATAGAATAATGAATTGTAGCGCTATGACATGTTGCTCCTTTATAAAATGATTTTTATCGATCATGAAACATTTTCAAAATTATCAAAATTTACAAAATTTCCAAAAAAACAGTTTATTGTGTCCGTCCCAATTTTAAAATTGTCTATGAAGTAAGGTAGTAAGATATCTTTGGCTTTTAAAGTTGTACTTGTAAACTGCATTGGCCTTCGTGTAGTGGTAGAGGAAAATTCTTTACTGAGTTCCGTGAAGCTGGTAGAATTAGGATCCGTATTTGAGAGTTAATTGTTGATTCTGGTTATCAAACGAGAGTGCTCAACAACGACGAGTCGAAGGAGCATAACTAATAAATAGTTGTTGTTTGGTTTCCCAAAGAGAGTGCTCGACTGCAGTTAAGCAGGAGCATTATAATTCGAACAATTGAAACAAATCAAATTGGCGGGCAAACGATCCGTTTCATGATATGTATAAAAACAATACCAATCATCAGTGCTAAATAGAATAATGAATTGTAGCGCTATGACATGTTGCTCCTTTATAAAATAATTTTTATCGATCATGAAACATTTTCAAAATTATCAAAATTTACAAAATTTCCAAAAAAACAGTTTATTGTGTCCGTCCCAATTTTAAAATTGTCTATGAAGTAAGGTAGTAAGATATCTTTGGCTTTTAAAGTTGTACTTGTAAACTGCATTGGCCTTCGTGTAGTGGTAGAGGAAAATTCTTTACTGAGTTCCGTCGTTGTTGAGCACTCTCGTTTGATAACCAGAATCAACAATTAACTCTCAAATACGGATCCTAATTCTACCAGCTTCACGGAACTCAGTAAAGAATTTTCCTCTACCACTACACGAAGGCCAATGCAGTTTACAAGTACAACTTTAAAAGCCAAAGATATCTTACTACCTTACTTCATAGACAATTTTAAAATTGGGACGGACACAATAAACTGTTTTTTTGGAAATTTTGTAAATTTTGATAATTTTGAAAATGTTTCATGATCGATAAAAATTATTTTATAAAGGAGCAACATGTCATAGCGCTACAATTCATTATTCTATTTAGCACTGATGATTGGTATTGTTTTTATACATATCATGAAACGGATCGTTTGCCCGCCAATTTGATTTGTTTCAATTGTTCGAATTATAATGCTCCTGCTTAACTGCAGTCGAGCACTCTCTTTGGGAAACCAAACAACAACTATTTATTAGTTATGCTCCTTCGACTCGTCGTTGTTGAGCACTCTCGTTTGATAACCAGAATCAACAATTAACTCTCAAATACGGATCCTAATTCTACCAGCTTCACGGAACTCAGTAAAGAATTTTCCTCTACCACTACACGAAGGCCAATGCAGTTTACAAGTACAACTTTAAAAGCCAAAGATATCTTACTACCTTACTTCATAGACAATTTTAAAATTGGGACGGACACAATAAACTGTTTTTTTGGAAATTTTGTAAATTTTGATAATTTTGAAAATGTTTCATGATCGATAAAAATTATTTTATAAAGGAGCAACATGTCATAGCGCTACAATTCATTATTCTATTTAGCACTGATGATTGGTATTGTTTTTATACATATCATGAAACGGATCGTTTGCCCGCCAATTTGATTTGTTTCAATTGTTCGAATTATAATGCTCCTGCTTAACTGCAGTCGAGCACTCTCTTTGGGAAACCAAACAACAACTATTTATTAATTATGCTCCTTCGACTCGTCGTTGTTGAGCACTCTCGTTTGATAACCAGAATCAACAATTAACTCTCAAATACGGATCCTAATTCTACCAGCTTCACGGAACTCAGTAAAGAATTTTCCTCTACCACTACACGAAGGCCAATGCAGTTTACAAGTACAACTTTAAAAGCCAAAGATATCTTACTACCTTACTTCATAGACAATTTTAAAATTGGGACGGACACAATAAACTGTTTTTTTGGAAATTTTGTAAATTTTGATAATTTTGAAAATGTTTCATGATCGATAAAAATCATTTTATAAAGGAGCAACATGTCATAGCGCTACAATTCATTATTCTATTTAGCACTGATGATTGGTATTGTTTTTATACATATCATGAAACGGATCGTTTGCCCGCCAATTTGATTTGTTTCAATTGTTCGAATTATATATATATGTATGTATATATCACGACAATCTATCGTAAAACAGGGGTTCTAGAAAACCCATTTCCCGATGCTCCTGAAACCTGAAACTTTTTTTGCAGTCGATTTGGTCAACGTCTAGACGCCCTGAAAAATTTCTGATCTCTAACTCAATTTTAACATGGTTTTTAAGGCACCTGAATATGGCGATTTTGGGTTTTTTACCGAATTTCGTATAACAGTGCTGGCGAGTATTTTATGCAAATTTCTTAAAAATCTCAACATAACTATTTTTTATTCCTGTCATCTTTGACATCAAATTAGAATGTTTTGAACTAAAAATAAATCTGCTGAACGACTTTCGATGAGTCTTAATGCCTGAAAAACTCCTGCCGGAGGCGGCGGCCTTCGGCCGCCGCCTCCGGCCGGAGTGCACGCTTCGCGTGCACGAAAGAGGCTTCCGACGAGTACCAAAGGGGTTATAATAGTAAAGGGGGTATAATAGTAAAGGGGGTACAATAGTAAAGGGGGTACATAGTATACCCCCAATAAAGACACCGCTCGTGCTTGCCAGCACTGTGATTTTCATACACAGTAAAAATTAATTTTCATATAAAATAAAAATAACAAAAAATATTGGGTGGGAAAAGACAGGCTGCGCTTACGGTCCCAGTAAAACACACACACACACACACACACACACACACACACACACACACACACACACACACACACACACACACACACACACACACACACACACACACACACACACACACACACACACACACACACACACACACACACACACACACACACACACACACACACACACACACACACACACACACACACACACACACACACACACACACACACACACACACACACACACACACACACACACACACACACACACACACACACACACACACACACACACACAGAGTTAGGATTACTGTTACTGTGATAGGATATGATATCTTGTGCTATATGTAGCGACGACATCTGACGCAGCGACATATAGCGCTAGATAGCGACATCTAGCGCTAAATAGCCTGGACTGTCACGACCCAAAATTCTTCGCTATTTAGCGCTATCTAACGCTATTTAGCGCTATCTAACGCTATCTAGCGCTATATGTCGCATCGACATCTGACGCTATATAGCGCTATCTGGCGCTATATAGCGCTAGATAGCGTGAACTGTCGTAAACTGACTTATCCCGCTATCCAGCGCTTGATGTCGCCTGCGTCAGATGTCGTCGCGACAGATGTCGTCAGATGACGTCAGATATCGCTAGATGGCGTCAGATAGCGTCAGATGTCGCGGCAACATATGACGCTAGATGACGCTAGATGTCGTCCCTAGAATTTTTATGAAAATAGCGCTATCTGTCGCCTGGCGTCAGTGCTGCGTGCTTAGCGTCATCTAGCGTCATCTAGCGTCATCTAGCGTCATCTAGCGTCATATAGCGTCATATAGCGTCATATAGCGCTAGATAGCGCTAGATAGCGCTAGATAGCGCTAGATAGCGACATTCGAAAGGTGCCGTGCACTTAGCGACAATGTCGCTAATTGGCGTCATCTAGCGTCATCTAGCGTCATCTAGCGTCATCTAGCGTCATCTATCATCATCTGGCGATATTTCACGCTAGATGACGCTAGATGACGCTAGATGACGTCATATGTCGAATTTCAACTATCAGTAAAGGTCCATCTTTTTTATAAATGGATTAGTCCATATTATATCACTGCCGCGACATTTTTCCCTTCAATTTCCGAGATTGTAATGTATTCTATTGTGATTGCGAGCAATAAAAGGTCAGCATTTCGCAGCTGAAGTAAAGTTGTGATATATCAATATGTCATATGTGCCATTATTCTTTTGCATCTATAACATCACGAGTTTTACTTGAAAATATACCACGTTGTAACGAGATAATAGACATAAGGTAGCATCTAACTCTAAAAGCTGGCTTTATTCAGGTTATTAACATGAATTAAAAGATTCCAATGACAATGAAAACAGAAATTGCATCGGAATCTAGTTTGACAGTATCTGCACAAATAGATAAGTTTGATACGGATGTAAAATAATCTGGTGGTCGTTTCAATGGGACCAGATTAAACTAAGAAATATCAAGTCTGAGAATGCATTAGAAACTAGTTGTGGTGATTTATAAATTCCCGACATGCAATTATGATCAAATCAGAAAATATTTGTGAAAATTTGATGTACCAACGAATAAAATATTTTATGATAAAGACACTAACAACATCGTCTTGTTAAAAAGATCTGAAACTGTTTTTCAACTCGTTAAGGTTGCAACATAAGCTAAAAATATATTGAAGACGTAAGAAAGATTTAAAAAGCTTATAAAAGTTGCATGAGTGGACATCAGACATGTAGGTTGCACTGTGCACATGTATTGTACCAAATTATAATAAAAACAGTAATATCTGAAAAAATTCCATAATTCTAAAAATAAACCAGCATTTTAGGAAAATTAATCTACTGAAATAAGAACCCATGATTTATTCTTAATCCTCATTTACAGTGGCTTCTACACACCATCCCACAATAGAGAAGTTTATTTAATTTCAGTTTCAGTTTCAGTTTCAGTTTCAGTTTCAGTTTCAGTTTCAGTTTCAGTTTTACTTATCTATTCACTATTCACGCGTCTACACACCATCCAACAATAGAGAAATACCCAGGTACGTCAAAATAGCCATCTCTCTCCTCGTAATTAACTCCCGGGAAGATAACTCTACTTCTCATTGTCTAAAAGGAGAGTGTTTATGAGTAAGTTAAGTAATTGAATTAAGTTAAGTAATTGAATTAAGTTATTTAATTTGAATTAAGTTATTTAATTGAATTAAGTTAAAACTTAATATTTTATTCTATCTTTCAGTTTCAGTTTCAGTAATATCAGTTTCAGTTTCAGTTTCAGTTTCAGTTTCAGTTTCAGTTTCAGTTTCACTTTCAGTTTCACTTTCACTTTCACTTACCCTGCCGAGTCTTTGGAAAATCATGACCTCTGTGGTGCCGTCATCTTTAGTGTACTCGTATGAAGCCCCAAATAAGTTATTCTTCAGTGCACTTCCGATAACTTTGGTTCCTTGACCACCCAGAATGTTTTCGAACTTTTTTCCCTGAGATCATTATTGCCTTTAAAAAAGAAAATATCAGTTATCTTGCCCATTTTTTAGTATTCGTGTACAAACATTTTTCTTGAAGTAAGAAATCTAACCACGCAGAAGACTTTAAATAAACCTACCCTTTTTTTCCAAATGACTTCATAGTACTTAGAATCTTCCGTCTCAGCATCAACTACAAGAGTTGTCTTGATGCAGTTAGTGTCTGAATTTCCACTACATTCCACCTTTTTGTTATTAAAGGAAGCTTTTATCTTGTCAGTTATCCCGAAGAGGTCTTGGAGAGTTGTTTCAATATTATACGATATCGCACCATCAGTCACTTTGTAGATGATAACACGATTTCCAGCTATGAGATGGATTAGTGCTCCGGCTGAAGTGTATAGTTTTATGATTTTATAGTTTTCTTTTTTAAATATTTAAAATTTTGTCCACGTTTTTAAAAATTTTTATGATTCTGACTAGAATAATTTTTATTTATATATATAAATATATTTTTATTTAAAATAAGGCGAACACTATACATTTATATATTATATATCCGTAAAAACTCATACACACATGCACATCTTTAAACGTATGAAATTTGGCTTTAAATTGTTAGTTGAGATTGCACCAAAGCAAAAGTTAAACCTTTTATTATCGTGGGTTTGAAGTGAAAGTGAAAGTGAAAGTGAAAGTGAAAGTGAAAGTGAAAGTGAAAGTGAAAGTGAAAGTGAAAGTGAAAGTGAAAGTGAAAGTGAAAGTGAAAGTGAAAGTGAAAGTGAAAGTGAAAGTGAAACTTACTGTCGAATGCAGCATCAATCTGAGCAGGAGCTCCGTAAAACACTAAACCTAACCGTTTAGGATATCCTGGTAGCATTTCTTTAGTGTTTGGATTAAATCTGCGAGGGAGAAAATATGAATGATATAAATTACCAATATATCTTTTTTTTTTGAAAAATCATTAAAATATGAAATAGAAACAGTAAAAAATCAAGATACTTACACCCAAACATAACCATGAGCCATCAGGTATACCGAATTTTCTAATCCTTCTCGGCCGTAAAGATAAAACGCGGCCTCTATACTGTTCAGACAGTCAGTCGGTATTGGGAGTCTTGGGATGTAGTTGTCGTCTAAATGATGTTGGCCCCTGATTTCTTCGTAATTTATACTTAGCAGTGCAGTCTCCTGTGTTATCATCTCAGCTGAAGAGGATTAGTTAATTAAATATAATTAAATATAATACTATAATTTAAACTTGACGAAATTTCCCCGGCAACGGGGACATAGAAGAAAAAACACCGAAAATCGACCTCAAAAAGACCCTCTGGTGAAATCAAACCCAGCTCGCAAATGGAGTTGAAACCTCGCCATTTTTAGCAGGGTTGTAGAAAAAGGATAGGAATAGGCTATAGCATTCTTAGAATTTTGATTTAGGCTTTAGATTTTTTATAATTAACGTCGGAAGTGAGGTAAAATAACCGTTAGAATAATGTCGTTATTTTAGCAAAGGTTTACTGCGCTGTTGCGTAGCAACGTTAAAATGCACGTGCGCGAGCAAGAACATCTTAACTACGCGCGTTGTTATGCTGTATGCTACGTCATAATTTCAAAACTAGCTCACATTTACGCTCACGCTATGACTTATATTCATAACTTTGGTTGTGATTGGTATTTTTTGATGCGGTAAAAAGTATCGTTTTGGGAATCCGAATACTAACAACGCTGTCGCCATTGTTAGATAAATTCCATTATGTCTACTGTATAACAGAGCTGTATGATGAAGAGAAATTAAAACATAACTGATTTTTAAAATTTCCTCGAACAAAGCTTTCGACTAGCGGGTTTCTAGTTAAATATAATTGGTTTTTCGGTTAATTGGTTAATTTGTTAATTGATTTATAATTGGTTAAAGTATCGTGATTGATTGATTGTAAACCGGGAGAGATTATTTATTTTTTAAATAATCTCTCACTAGTGAGAAACAGAAACTTTGCGCAAGTTTATTTATACAATTATATAATACGCATTGGTCTATCAAAGTTCAGTTGAGGGGATAGAATTATTTACTCTCAATATTTATTGATCAATTTGATAAAATGAACATTGCACAACTCACCATATTGAGCTTTTATCGCGGTGGTATCATCAATATCCAATTCATTTACACTGAAAGCGTTTTGTCCGGGATATCTGGAAATAAGATGTTTAAATTTAAGTAAAGAGAAGTTTAGTGAGCTGAATGTAATTAAAAATATATCGGAGTTAACGAAGTGTTGACCGTATTATTTCCACAGATTAAAGTTTTAAATTATCTTATTTAATCATTTCTTTGATGTACAGCCATTTTTCTAATGATTAAAAGACACTCACTAACAAATTGAAAAACAGAGAGAAAAGAAAAGAGAAAAAAAAAAGAAAAAGAAAACACTAACTCTTTAGCCATTACCGCATTTTTCACCTCCGAATGACTAATCCCTACAGCATGTCCAATCTCGTGCATAGCAACATACTTCAAGCTTGTAAAATCACCACTTTCATTTACGTCACTCGAAAACCACTCAAAATCGTTAAAATGTATTTCACCATGAACCGGTACAAAAGCATGGCCTTTTTCTAGGGCTTTCCCATCAAACTTCAGTCCATCTGCATGGCGTCCCCTCATAAACATAAAAACAATTTGTGCGTCATCTGCAAACTCTGGTTTACTTTCTTTGAATTCAAAACCGCGAGATGACCAAACCTGAAGAGCTTCTTCTACCACTTTTCTAGTTTTTTCTTCTCCTGCAATAAAAATTGGTGCACTTACCCGATAATTTGAGTAGATTATTATTGAATTTCAATATTCCACAAACTAAATGCTGTACATGTGTGTGCATAGTCAATATTATAAAAACACCAAATTCCCTGAATGCATTTTAAAATTTAGCTGAATCGGCGAATCGCCCAACTATGCAAAAATTATACTTATGCAATTACCCGATTTACCGCACCCTGATATGCAAAAATAATATCAAGTCTACATATATACATTATACATTATATATTATATATTATACATTATACATTATACATTATACATTATACATTATACATTATACATTATACATTATACATTATACATTATACATTATACATTATACATTATACATTATACATTATACATTATACATTATACATTATACATTATACATTATACATTATACATTATACATTATACATTATACATTATACATTATACATTATACATTATACATTATACATTATACATTATACATTATACATTATACATTATACATTATACATTATACATTATACATTATACATTATACATTATACATTATACATTATACATTATACATTATACATTATACATTATACATTATACATTATACATTATACATTATACATTATACATTATACATTATACATTATACATTATACATTATACATTATACATTATACATTATACATTATACATTATACATACCCAGATGCGAGCTGTAGTTAGTGAAGGCATAAGAGATAGGTTTACCATTAGGATACCACTTAAAGTTTGAGTGTGACCATCTCTTCTTCCTGGACAGCTTCCCCTCAACGTCCTCAATGTCCGTATCCAGATTTAAGCCCTCGTTCCCTTCATACAAAATGTTTCTCCTGCATATCCGTGCCGTGAAAACACTGACCTTGTGTTGCCTGTAGTTGCTTCCACCGAGGGTGAAAGTGTACACGGACGACTTGGTTGGCATGACGGTGTCAAAGCGGAAGATCCTGAGTCCATTGACCGCGACAGAAGCTGTCCGTTCTGTATTTGACCCGACTGTCACCCTTACCTTAAACTGCTTCAAACGCTTTTGATCTTTGTCAAGTTCGACACACTTGTCAAGGTCAATTTTTTTGACAGTCTTCCTTCTTCCTCTGGTATATGTTCCCTGTGTGAACACCAATCTACTGTTTCTTTTTTCGTACTGGATAAAGACATAATCTGACGTCCTGGTTGAATTCTCGTAATTGAACGCAATCCCAACGTGCGAGTTTCTCTTTTTACTCTTACTGAAATCCAAGTCAGCTTCGAAATGATACCCTTTGTCCCACACGAAATCTTTGATATTTTCCTTTTTGTGTGCAGGCTTGACAAAATCGTTGGGGAAGTGTGAGCACATGTCCAAGAAACTATCCTCATCCAGCGCACAAGGGTTCCGCACCATGTCACTCTCTATGATGGCATCTGATTCAATACAAGTAAATGCCTCTATCTCGTCTTTGTAAGATGTGTCTCTGTTTCCGCACCGTGGTAAGGACAGCACTTGTGACTGTTTTTCGGTCAGCTCACCTGTCTCTGGGAAACCGTTAAATTTTTGGAATGCCTTGACCGTCTCTATCATAGCATCCTCATCCACAACAGCATCTGCAGCTACAGACGCTGCTTTGTTGTCTCCTGTTTCTTTTTCTGCTTTTTTGTTGTGATTCTTGTTCACTCCTACGTCGATGTAACCGTTATGTGCAAGGTACCCCATCAAGTTACCTACAGCCTGATCGTCATCTTGTTCTTTGAATTTCTTAGCCTTTTCCGTGAAAACTTTGACGGGGACTTTAGTGTTGTTGAATTTCGGTCTCCATACCTTTACTTTATCATCATCTCCATCACCATCTATACCTTCTCTATCATCTTCATCCTCAAGATCCTCAAGATCCTCAAAGTTTACCACATCATTTAACATAAGCTCCTTCACCTCCTCATTCTCCTCCTCTTCTATATCATAGTTCATTGAGAACTCACTCTCGTCCTCCCCCTCCCTCTCTGTCAGGTCCGGGGGCGCTCTGTTAACAGGGGTACGGTCGGATCCCCTAACTTTTGGTTTCTGGTATTCAATATACTCCAGTGTTATGAGCTTCGTTCCACCTTCACTCTCCATGTGGAGACCTGGAACAGAAACTCCATCGTGGAAGTTAGAGTCAGTAAACTTGTCGGTTACAACGTAACTTTTGGAGTTGTCAGCTGTGATCTTGATTCCTCTTCCCGCTGAAATGTTGCTGATTTGAAGGCTATGCACATCGAATTCTGCCCACGGTACGTTTAGCTCCAAGTTAATATTTTCACAGTCGTGGTAATACGTAGCCTCACACAACATTGCCTCTACTTTCTCAAGGTCTGGATCATCAGTAGGTGGGGTTTCTGTAAGTTCCTCAGGTTCAGGAGTAGGTTCAACTAACATTATCTCGCTCTGAGCATCTAGGAAGTTCAGGCACTGGTTGTCTGAAACTGCTACGTTTATCTTTTTAGATCCTGAGTTTATCAGGTCACTTGGTTCAATTCTCTGAAATTGTATCTTCTTTGTTCTACTTCCATCATCAGCGGGCACTGTAACCGTAATCATACCTTCTTCAAAATGCACGGATATCTCATAAACATTCTGATCTTTCACCGTTATTGATTTAGCAATCCTTTGATCATAAACGGCCGTAAGAGATCTTTCCACTTCACCCTTGAACAAATTCGACTTCGATATGTCTATTTCCAAACTAACTCGTTCAAAAGCTATCATGACGTCACAATCTGATATAGAATGTTCGGTTTGGTCGATTCTGAAAACGACTGACACGTCTTTTTTTAGGTCCCAGAAAGCGTTATACGCTATCGTGTTCGTTGAAGGGACTTGTTCAGACACCAATTCGTCAAAAGTGACTTTATCGTTACCTGTAAACGTTGAGATTGAGTAATCTTACTATATATAAAGCGAGACGATATATATTATATATTATATATATATATTCCCGCCATCAGCAGAAATCAACCCTGATGAATTGAGCCATACTGATGAGTCCTAATAGGACGAAACACTATGTCTTTCGATTCCCGCCATCATTCATTTACAATTGTAATAGATTAAGAAGAACTACCCGAAACCAGCTGTACTCGGCAATACAGATTCAATAAACATCAGCTAATTGGACACTAACTACCACCCTTATCCCGAAATACTAGGTAGGTATCGACCCGAAAGCAACCTAAGAGACTTTTACAGCATATGATTTATGTAATTAATCGAAACTTATTAAAATTCGTAAGCTGTGAATGAATGGGAAAAGCGAGCGAAAGTGAGACACTGGCAGCGGTCCACTCTACTCATGATTATGGGTTTTGGTCAATTTAACGATTAAGAAATTAGACTTTCTTTCAGACTGTAGCTCCTGAGAATGATTTCTTGGAAATGAAACAGAGAAAAAAAGACTTTTTTAGAGATATGATGCAAGGATTATCATCTGATGACGTTAAGGATCGTCCGAGTATATTATTCATCCCGTTTGTCTGTGCAAAATTTTTATAGGGGAATATTTAACCAAACTCTAAACGGTAACAATCTTACATATCTAGATATCACATAAAAATTACACGTCATATATTATTATATGTAATTTTTTCCAGATATTTATTACATAATATTAAAAACTCACAATCATCCTGGGAGGTGGAGCCAGGGTAAGAGTACTTGTTATCAGGACACGCGGTACAAGCCGTGTCAGTTCCAGAGGTGCTGAAAGAAGCCATAGGGCAGCGGAGGCAGGCTCCGTTGGGAGTTACTATGTAGCCTGGGTCACATGCTCCTGTAGGGACGATGACGCTTTAGGCAGTTGTTAAAAAGTTGTTTTTAAAAAAATAAAAGACACTTTAAAGATAAGATTTTTTTGATAAATTTTTGGTCATTTCGTGATTATATTTTATGGGAATTTTCACGATTTGTAATAAAATTTCACGATTTCTCACTATTGTCGACAAAGAAGTGCTCTTTCACCATGCAGCAGTTCATGCAAAATTAACAATCTGAAACAATATTAGAGGTCATTCTAAAATTCCATTTCATTTTGCAGTAGTAAACTCACTACTCACTATAAAACAGCCGTCATGGTGTGACTTGAGTTTCCAATCTAAAAGTATAACTCGTTTGGTGACATGCTAACCTTTGATAAGATTAAAACAACCTGTTCGGCTGTCCTGCTTACCTGTTACCACCATCCCTGAGTAGACCTCAGAAGCCCCATCTACCAACTCCTCAAACTCTATCGCCCTGATCTCCTCATTCAAACAGTCGTCATCAGCCGTTAACACGTAGAAATCTCCCCCATCATAACGGATTATCAGCATATCCCCGACCTTTTGAAAGGACCACTCCCCCGGTTGGATAACCCCCTCTTGGTAATAATCCACCATGAGCTCTCCGGAACACGATATCTCAAATCTGAGACCTTCAGGTCCGATTGTTAAGCTGCCCATCTTTTCAAACCCACCCGACAGGAAGTCAATAGCTACTTTGTCGGAAGCAGCGAGACGGCTTTTTGTTGTTATTTTGAATTGGGTTGAGTCGGAGGACATGTCACTAAGATTGACGATCACTTCTCCGGTGTCTAGAGGTATCCATTGTTGCGCCGATGCTTTAATGCGATGCTTTAATGCGGTTAAATTTCCTGGCAATTTTTATGAGTCAGTTTATTTTAAATAATTACATTTTTCATTTAAATTATAATGGTGTTTGGGAAGGGACAGCTTATGTTATATATAACATGTATATATACATATTTGAATATATATATACATATTTGAATGTAGATGAAAATTGTAAAATTATACCTTCTCAAATGTTCACTCAGAAACTTGCTTTCCTTGGTACTGGTAAACAAATTTATTTACCCATAATCAAAATCCCCGCGAACCTTAAAATTCAATTTGAGGTTGATCTTACCTACACATATGATGAAGATTATTTGTCTAAAATCCATCTGGAGTTCGTTACTTCCTTATCTCTCTAATCCAGTCCACTGTTAAATCCTATTCCATCTTCACGTGTCATTACATCTTTCTAGTTAACTACAAATAACAATTAAAAGGAACATTAGACAACATCAAAAACTGAGTCTATTCAGAAAAAAATCTGAAATTGTCTTTCATGAAAGACTGTATGATGAAAAGGTAAAAGACAAAAACGGGTAAAATTAGGGGGCCAATAACGTTACAGAGCAGGATTTAAACGTTAAAACAATGGCCAGGACCGAGGACAGCACGGTAAAACTAAACGGATCTCTGTGTAACAGTAAAACTGTATTATTAGGTTGTAACACTTATAGCCTAGCGCATTAAAGTGTAAACTTAAAGTGTAATTACATTACTTTTATTTACAATTAGGCTATGCGGTAAGCTGTGCTGCAGAAACAATGTAATTCAGATTGTGCAGAAGATTTTTACCTCGTTACGCGTACGACACCGCGACGATCTCTATTAGAAGGGGGGGGGGGGGGGGAGGGGGCATTGCTACCCTCCAAAGTGCAATTGGGGGGAGGGGGAGGGGGCATTGCTACCCTGCAAAGTGCAATTGGGGGAGGGGGGAGGGGTAGGGGGGCATTGCTACCCTGCAAGGTGCAATTGGGGGGGGGGGGGGGGGAGGGGGGCATTGCTACCATGCAAAGTGTAATTGACCATGAGGTTTGGAGAAGAGGTGTCATCAACGGCCCGATAACAGTGGTTCCTGATCCTCCTCCTGCACTGGATAAGCTTATACAGAATTTACGATAGCACAATACATATTGGTAGCATTCCAATCTAGCATGAATTTTGAATTGGTATCTATCAAAAGCTGTATTTTTTATGAACGGTATGGCACACAATGTTTTATTTTATACTTTTCAAATTTTACAGAGTTCAGCAACAAATTATTTTATTCTTAAAATAGAACCGTTTGAAAATATTTCCCCCAGATTACCTAGATTCCTAAGCCCCCAGCTGTGAAATATGATTTCTTCAAATCAAAAAGAAGTGGGTCATACATTCGGATCCCGATGGCACTCTCGCGGCACTCTCGCGGCACTCTCGCAGCACTCTCGCGGCACTCTCGTGGCACCCTCGCGGCACTCTCGCGGCACTTTCGCAGCAATCTCGCGGCACTCCTGCAGCACTCTCGCAGCACTCTCGCGGCACTCTCGCCGAACTCCAAACTACAAATCTTGCCCCAGAAACATTACAAAAATGCGACTAACAATTAATAATATTCCGATCCGGATATTACAGAATAAAAAGAAGCACAGATTAATGAAACGTTGCAATAATAGCTATATTAAGACGCAATGAAACTAACAGACTACGATGTAGCGGATGTATGTCGTATGAGGACTTGCCACCCCATGGCAACATTAAAATATATCGACTATGTTACATCGTTTCCTGTTAATATAAAACTTCGTTACAAATTGAACTGGGATCTGGCAATACTACACCTTAGATAAATAAAATATGATAAAGTAATGTATCATATAGTAATGGAGGTTCAAGCCCTGCAAATTTGCAGTAGCTGAAGAAATTAGATTAGATTGTTAAAGTAATTAACTGGAATATAATACTGATTTTATGAGCTATACCTATTGATGCAATATGATTATGAGATGTTTTATTATATAGCTGTATCATGATATGGTCCGTGTATATATTTCTTATATTATTACAAGGCGGGAAGGGTCGGTGGTCTGGGTGGATATCTGGCTAAAATATCCACTTTTGTTTCCATGCTACTTCACCAAATATGAGCGGTATTCCTATCATATTTGCTCGCCCCAACTTTTGTGAAAGGGTTGTGAGGGTTTGAAAGTGATCTAATTCGGTGTATTAAGACTCTACATTGGCGGAAAAGTGATTCTAAAATCTCAAAAATCCTAAGTGAATCAATTTTTACTAGGAACCAGAATGTTGACATAGTGACTCTGAGATATTTGCTGGAAGCTGCAAGATGAGTCTTCAAACATTCATTTTTTCATTCTTTTACTGGGCCGCGCTCAGCCTGTCATTCCGCCAAATCTTTATTATATATATATATATAATGAACATAATAGCCTGGGGTCCTCAGGTAATCATTCTTTTGTTTTATTTTCAGCGGAATCAGTGCTTAGACATGGTGGATCGAGGTGGTGTTTGTTCATGTCACGTGGTGTTAGTTCATGTCACGTGGTGTTTCTCACACGTGAATCCCCCGGAGTTTGGCACGTGTCAACACCTTGTCCTTACTCCTTTACTCGTCGGAGAAGATAAAGGCCTTGCTCAGCAATGGGTAAGGTTCGCAGTTTAGATAGCCATGTGCCTGTGGCACGCTGCAACAATTCTTCTCGAATAATTTTCAAGACTTGACGTCAATTTATTATCTGAAAAAAAGACGATTTATGAAGGAGCAAGTACCTTACATTCTACCCAGTGGCGTAACGAAAGGCCCTGCTGACCCCGCTGTGCAGGGGGGCGCCGTCTTAGGGGGGGCGCCAAATCGTCGTTTGAATGTGGGACAATTTCGAAAACTTAACTAAAGTACGAGCAAAACTGCGTGTTTTGCTCTAGAGCTCTAGATACACACTTTTTTAGAGATTTTACCGGCGTTTTCTTTAAAATAACCTAATTTGTTCAATTTTAGGGAGGGGCACCAAAAGGGGAGGGGGCGCCAACAGGGGGGCGCTTTTTTCGGCAGGGGGGCGCCAACAGGCAACGTTACGCCACTGATTCTACCTACTACTCATTTCTCAAGATGTCCACTACATGATGTTGCTCTACCACTTTGACTTATGTCCCTTTTAACTATTACTAAAAATGTCCTTTTTAACTACTACCGTTCACCGAACCTTGACTGCGGCCTTGTTAACAAGGCTTGGCCGGTGGAGGGTTCGCAGCAGTCCCATTACCTCAGTATTGCTGTACAACTACTACAAAACTTAGATTTGCTAAAACTGTCGAAAAATTCCACTGATTACTGGGGGCAAGGCAGTGACTCCCTCCCTATTATTTGTAAAAGAGGGGATGGTTTTGGTATCAGTATTTCAAAAGAAATCTCATATATATGTAGCCGGAACAATCAGCAAATACAATTTGCTGATATAAAGAGAGACAGCAACAAAAATCATTCTTCGAGATCTTCAGAGGGAATTCCGCGGAAGTAAGCAATTTGAGTAAACTGCATATCCACAGGAATCCTTCATATTTCCAGATTTCCTGTATATTTCCAGCATTTTGCCAGCATATTTCCAGAATTACAGCAAAATACAAAGGGTTTGTCTGCGACAATCTGGAAAATACGCAGACTGCTCCAGTCGAGTTACAACAAGGTACAGTAAAACCCCGATTTATCGCGGAGTTTAGGGGAAGGAAATGGCCACGGTAAATCGGGGTTTTACTGTATAAACGATTTGCATGACGACGACTAACTGACACGATGTTGTATAGCGAATATTCCCGAATATTTTTTACTGTAAAAAGTAAAAACGTCTCAAATATCAATATTTCATGATGATTATTATTACTGATAAAGGTCAGAGGATAGAGGTCGAGTAAAAACCTAGATCAGCTTAAATTTGACTGCTGGTAGAAACATGTTAAACTTAAATGTGCCAGGATAGCGGGGTGAAATTAAAAGATTAAAGGTGCCCCGCTTATTAACCGCCAACTATATGCTCCAATAAAATACAACTTTGGAGCTAGATATTTTGCACAGGTAATTCGCACCCATGAACGTGAGGTCTGAAAATAAAATAAAATATATATAAACCGCCGAGATTTTAGTAATTTTCTACAGTGTAGGACTCGTACCTACAGTAAATAGAATATTATCATTATTCAAACAATATACACATAATATAGCAATGACCATACACTAAATAGTATGAGTAAACAGTCTGTTGGAGAGAATGTTACACAATAGCTCAAATAATAGGTGAACGATCTTTAATTATAGTAGCTATTACGAAAATGAGATTAAAAGTGGATCAGTGTCATATTGGACCATGGACAGATTAAGGAATTCTGTAATCGATATTATCCTCTACACGAGTTACTTACAGCTTTAATAATGATGTAAGTAACTCGTATAGGTGCATCTGCTTTATCTAAATCAATCTTATTCGATCCAGCTCCCACGAAATTAACAGCTGTTAACCTATTGTTAAGGGAACAATTTCGAACATTATTTGGTTTTTAATTACTTAAACATACTGCGGGGTCTAAAATGGGCGTGGTCTGACCAATCGAATTTTGGCGACACAACCCTCAAAGGCTCGAATGATTAGTATATAGTTCCATTGTGTCTTTCCCAAACATGAAATTGGCTATTTTATAAGCTCAAACGTATGTAAACTGGGCCGGTAAATTACCAACATTTATAAAAGCCTAGTCTTTCCAATACTCAGACAGACTTCAGACAAAGGTTAAAAGTAGCCACATGAACACAATCAGTGACGTGACACCAGACACCTACAACGACATAATTCAGCTACTCGAAGGTTTCTTTACAGATTGTCAAATGAAGCACAAAACACCAAAGACAGACGTGACCAGAAGTTTAGTATTTAGTAACCGTCCCGAACCTGACAACAGAAGTCGCCAGCACATAGTAGCTCCACACGAATTCCTGGAAATTTCACGAAGGATTAAACTGCGCCAAGTCAACATTAAGCCCATTTCACATGAACATTTTAGTCTTGGATAAATGAATGTTGTAGAAGGGAGGCACGTCCTTCTACAGAATTTAAGATTCTGGTTGTTTTCATGCCTCCAAACTGAAGGGCAGCCGTGACTCGCCAAATCGTGGTGTGAATGTTAGTGGCTCTCATTAGAGCTGAAAAAATAACACGAGTGCATGCATATGTCTGGGGTTGCGTTCCGACTATGCTGGGAATCTGTACCGAGAGGACCGTGACTGTACCGCCACAGTCCACACTAAAAAAAGATCGGCCCCTCGTTCCTAGCTTGCTAGGTTCACCATATGTTGTTGTTAAATTAAGATATAAATACTGTTGGAGTCTGGGCACATGAACAGTTACCATAGAGACGGGTGAGTGAACAATGTTAATTTTCACAC